GAAGACGTATGGCTGCGGCATGCTTGAGTGCTCGCTCCGCCGAAAATGCGACCTGGGCCTGTTTCTTTCACCTTGCGCGGTGTCTGTAGCGAAAAGATGTTTTTGCGGATGTTTCTTTTTTTCATTTTTTTTACCTTTTTTTTTTTTTTTTTTTCTTTTTTGTGAATTTTTGGTTGGTTGTTGGAAGGCGGTAAGTTGCGGCAGTTTCGACTTTTCGACTTTTCGACGTTTAAGACGAAGAAGACGAAGAAGACGAAGACGAAGAAGATGAAGATGGACTCTACAAGTTGATGGAAGATACTGGTTATATTTATTTGATGGCAGTGGACAGTGAATACAGCTGAGAGAGACTAGGACAAGTGAATAGAAGGCAGGGTTGGTGCGACAGTGACTGTCTGTAGAAGTGAACGGTCGAGTTTTGGTCATGGAAGTTATCAGCCACAACGGAGCGGCTCTTTGCCTCGACGTTCACCTAGACTCGGCTCGAGAGGAGTGAATATTGCTAGAGTGACTATCGATATTCACTGTCGAAGAGATGACACAGCGTCCAGAGGACACTGACATGTCCGTTTCTTGGCGGTTGTTGCACCAGGTCTCTCGGCTGAAAGCTACCTACCAACAGATGCACCGCATAACTAACTAACCAGAGAAACAAAACTTCTGACAAAAAAACAACAAAGAAGGGAGAGGGCGTGATACTCGGACAGGCCGACTGGGTATTTAGTAAGGCGCTGACAGAGCTGCAGTCTATTGGGCAGCAACCAGGTTCCCGCTTGAGGATGGATGGAAGAAAGTGAAGCTTCCATAGAAGTTCGATGGCGATCTCCGCACGGTTTGCGTACAGATGACCGTGGAGCCCACGAAAAAGAGAAGAAGAAGAACAAGAAGAGGCCAAGTCCAGTCGGAAGAAGGAGAAACCATGCCTATATCAGGCTACTTAAGTCTCTGACTCGTCCTGCATATCGTCATGCTATTATAACTCGCGTCCCATGTGCAGGGCAATGTGGGTATCAAAAACGGGGACGACTGGCTCCGTATAGGCTGATTACTGCGTTTCCTTGGCCCCCCGCTGGTTGATTCTGAGATGAACGCGATCTGAACCATTCGCAATAATCCCTCGAGAAGTCAAATGATGGATTTGAAGGTGACATTCGGCGTATGGATAGAGCTCTTACACGGTTGGAACAGCCGCCCACTTCATGCATTGACTAGTACCCTAGACCTTGCTTTGGTATAACTAAACACAAAGTAAAGAGAGAGCAGTGACGGAGTACATGCCTAGTACAAGTCCAAACTCATCTTAACAGGCCCGCTTCTACTGCAACAGTAGAGTCGAGGTTTCTTCCAGACTTGACCGTGATCAGGGAGTGGCGGGTGTCATTAACTAGTTGATTAGACCCCGTAGCAGTCGGTAGAGCGGCGTATTATCAATTTGCAAGTCAGATTCAATGCAAGAGTCTCGATTGAGTAGTGATAAGGAGCAGAAACATGGTTGATATAGATACTCCCGTACACTCGAGACAAGGAGTGACTCTATGACCACGATTCACCAGCTGAAAGTGCCATAACCAGTTACCGTTGCAGAGAAATGTATCTAACCGCCCACCCCCTGAGCAAGCCGTAAACGTATGGTAGATGCTCCCCTCTCTGCAGCCTGGTCATCTTCAATTCCATGTCCAAGGAGAGACAGAAGTATACGGGTATCCTGATGCCTGGAGAATCCACCAAGAAAGACGCTGGTTACGCTCTTCTCTTCTCCGGATGGGACCGCATATACTAAGTAACTAACTAGTTAAGATCTTGGACACGGTCCTGCAGGTTCAGCATCTCGTTTGTCTTGCCCCGGAAGAACGCTCCTCTCCCGCAGGAATAATAATGACGATAATAGGCCACCCGGCGGACCCAGAGAGTGAGGCGTCCGGACTGCCCACCGTCCACTCAGTTAACTAACTAGTTAGTTACTTACTCCCGATTACTGACGTAACTTGGTTAACTACCTGCAGCCTGGAGACCGCGGACTGGCAGGGATCGCAGTGGACGGGGGAGGCGAAGGAAGGCAAATAATAGCACAACTGAATACTCCGTACCGTCAATCAAATTAATCCAATAATCTAATAATCCAACTAGCCAGGGCTACCCCGCTGCCAGCCTTCCTCTCGCCCTATCTTCCTTGTTCCAGCGAGGCGGGAGGCGTATATAAAAAGGAGGCCGAGATCTCCCGTCTCAGATGCGCCTCTACTTTTCTTTTCAGAGCGAACAAACACCGAAATAACTATTACTTAACGACTTAACGACGGAATACGCCTCTCAAAACAAATAACCAGACACCTCGTTTAGCTACTCGCACTCTCTACGATCAAGATGGGTGAGTCGTGGTCGTCTCCGGGGCCTCTGCGCCCTCTGCTCCCTCTCTCATGACTGCCTACTATTGGAGAAGAACGTATCTGGCTAACGAGACTCGCCGTCACTAGGTGACTGTGGATGCAGCTGTGGCTCTGCCTGTACCTGCCCTCCCGGCGGCTGCAACTGCGTAAGTCTGCCGTCTTCCTTGTGAGAGCGTGGAAGATATTCGAGTAGAGCATTGCTGACCTCTTTTTCTATAGAGCTAAATTGCTTTATTGCTGATGTCAAGCACAGAGATGAGGTCTCTCCCCCTTGAGCCTGGAGACAAGACATTCTCATCGACCGACGACCGAGTCTTGATCAACCTGGAATCTCTCTCTGGACTTGGACCGTGTTTAAACTGTCCTCGGGAGCGTGGCAATGGGAACCAACATCAGCTGTTTATTGATAGGACTTCGTGTTTCGCTTAGGCAAGATGCAATAAAATAAAAACATTGCTGTTTCTCTTCGGTGTTTCTCTCTTCAGCTCGCCTTTCTCCCCGTCTGCTCTGTACTTTTCCTCGGGATTCGATAAAATGTAGACGGGAAAGTAGAAGAAACGGAGGCTGTGCCGTCTCTGGCTTGAGCAGAAGCTCGTACGGAGCTCACGCTGCCTTTCCCCAGCTTTTTAGTTCAAAAAGATGGCGCCTGAAGAAACCAGATGTAGATTAAAAAGTAGGAAAAAGAAGCAACGTTTTTATGATATGCCATCCATTCTCCGTGTCTAGATTGTTAATAATAAATGTGTCAGGCGAACTTGAGCCCCGTATACGAAGGGATGGAGTAGATAGATAGCGGACTAACTGCTGCATCCGCCGGCCTCACGCTAGTTAACTAACTAGCTAGCTAGCTCGTCAGTGAGTTAGTCGTCGCCTTCGGGGCTGTCATTGGAGACGCTCGATGGGCGCCGGCCCTTGTCGACTTGGTCCCAAACATGTCATCTCGATCCTCTTCCCTCCGTACAACAACTCCATATACATGTATGTACATACTTACACGCACCTATACGATGCGACTAACTTGCAAGGCCTCGGGGGATTGGAGCCGGATGGCAGTGGCCATCTCGAGCCAATGAGTGCCGGGATCCTTACACCAACTGGCACGATGCTGTCTGTGTAGTTACAGCTCAAAGACGACGGCTGGACGTCTCTCCATCCACCGCTATACTCGGCACAGCAGATAAACACGCAGAGTCACACGGCCATCTTGCCTGGCAGGCCTCTCCTCTGCCCTCGAGCGATGGAAGGCGTTGGCAGACGTTTCTTTGCTTTTCTTCGTTTCTTCGTTTCTTCTTCTTCTTCTTTTCTTCTTCCTCCCGAACACTCGATGACTGCGTCTCCAAGCAGCCGTGCATAATTAAGTTAGCTAAGATAGTTGCAGCGCAAGTGAAACTATTGCTTTTTTTCTCTTTGGCCAACTTGATACCCCCCTCCCCCTATGGAGTGCTGCTACACGCTACTTACTACATACGACTCTCTGGCGCTGTCTCCTTGTGACTCCATCCCGATCAGCTCCCCTCTCCGTTTACAGCCTCGACCCCGAAGCGAGCAGCTATATGCTTGCCTCCCTGGCATAAATCGCGCGCTATCTCACCAAGCTCCACTGGCGGGCAGCCGGGAAGCCTGTCCTGGCGATGTCATAGTGCAGGTTCCACGTCGTACGCAGTACACCAGACACATCTGACCCCATATCTCCCCTCGTAGTTGGCAGTGGGAAAGCGTAACTAACTACGGGGGATGGGGTGTTTTTGGGGTGTCTGGAGGTTTGATATGCCGGATAAACTACCTAAACCGCACAGCATGCATGCATTCCAAGGCGCACAGCACAAGAACAAGGGAATGCAGCAGATGCTTCGAGGCTATTCCTCGGTACACAGATACACAGAACATAGCGCCCTTGGAGGGGGTTGCATAGATGGAGATGGACATGCATAATACTTTTTCGTGCCTTTTGCTTTTCTTTTCTTCTTGAAAACTACCTGCACAGGATACCCTTGCCGTTATGGCGTCTCATGGCACAGCTGATTGCACTGGGAGAAAATAGGTTAGTGTGTACTCAACCTTCGCCCAGTCGCATTTCAAGGAACAGCAGTACATCGTCGGGCTTTCTGATTCGGTTCCGAGTCTTCTTGCTCTCCACATACGCCCCGTCTCCTTCCCCGGGTGGATGTATGTTCCCTTTTTGGTGAGGGGTTGTCAGCTCAGGGAGGCGGATATCAAAATTACTCGCACTACAGTTCAAGCATAAAAGGGACATCCTCGCCCTGCATCTTTGCTCCCTTTTTCTCTCTCTCTTTCTTCTCCATCCCAGAGAACCAGACCTACAAATCCAAAGCAACTCATCCAACACTTAAATCTTTTTAACTTGTTAACCCAAGTCACTCCTCAATCTACCAAAATGGCCCCATGCTCTTGCAACTGCTGCCCAGGAGAGTGCTCCAGCTGCTCCTGCTCCAGCTGCTCCGTGAGTGCTACCCCATTTCCTTGAAACATGCGGATATACAGCAAGTTTCAATTAGAAGCAGCTGCATATAACTGCCACCATTCAAAG